ACGAGTCATGGTTGGTGTTATTGACGAGTCATGGATGGTGTTATTGATGAGTCATCGATGGTGTTTCAGGGGATCCTGGCGGTGAGGTCTGAGGTGTGTCTCGGCTCTGAGCTCCTCTCTTCTCTCTTCCATCATGAATGTTGTCGAGTGATCGCCGACCGGTTCGTGGACGACGGCGATAGACGAACCTTCAACGTCCTGATGGAGACGGTGAGTTTGGTTCATGTTGTTTTATTGATTTAACAATGTAACTCGGAGACATCACCATCAAACTTCACCAGTTCATTACTCACATTAAGATGATTATTTATTGTATTACAAACTTTCTGAAATGTTATGTGTAAATATGCAAATGAGGCATTATCTAATGGTAACCTTTGGTGAATTTAGGAGAAATCTACAGAAAAAAATAGACAAAGTAATAAAAATAGACAAAAATCGTAAAAAACACGTTTTTGCCGAAAGTGTCTCATATTCTTCTGCAACAGAATTATTATTATAATAATATAGAACTTAATTCATTTTAATGTCAAAGACGCTCGATCGTGAAGTAAATACATAGTGGATAGTATAAATATACTATATATCCATCTCTAGCATAATGAAATACACACATATACTAAAATATACCAGAATATGAAATAGAAATATATATGAAAGCAATCATTAAACTTCACAATAAAACAATAAAAAGTATAATAACAAGAAGGTGTATTAGGGCCATTAAAGGTAAAACATTAACAGTTAGATATTATATAACGGAGGAGCCGGCGGAGCTCAGAAAAACTCTTTTACCTTCTACGGCGTTGACAGGAGTGAGTTTCTCCTCTCTGCTCAGATCACAGTGGAGGATCATGGGAGATCTCTGACTGAGCATGCTCAGTGGAACAGCTTCTTCGTGGACTTCCTGCGAGACGCTCCGGAGGCGACGGGAGACGAAGCCGACGACGGCGATCCGGAGGCTCCGAAGGTCCTGAGCTACATTTAATCACGTGTCTTCGTTCTAATGCATTTGTTAGCACAGCACAGTGACGTTGACATGATTGACAGGTGTACGAGTCAATCCCGTCGCTGGACGCCCTGGCGGAGCGGCTGTCCGTATTCCAGCTGCAGTACAACGAGGCGGCGAGGGGCGGAGCCATGGACCTGGTCTTCTTCAAGGTGTTCAGTGCTTTTATCCAGAAGGGGTTAGCAGTCGGTCGCTAATGTAAACGTAGCATTTTGAAGCCCTGTGATTGGCTCATTTCTGGCTCGCTCTCCCACCTGATAAACAGCCAAACACGACCTGTCGGCCCTCTCTGTGCTAATATTGGTTAACGGCCCTCTGTCTCTGGTCCAATGGCAGGACGCCATGATCCACCTGATGCGGATCTCGCGGATCCTGCGGACGCCTCAGGGGAACGCCCTGCTGGTTGGTGTGGGGGGGTCAGGGAAGCAGAGTCTGACGAGGCTAGCGTCATTTATATCAGGGTACCAGACCTTCAGGATCACACTGAGCAGGTCTGACACACACACACACACACACACACACACACACACAGAGACACAGACACACGCACACACACGCACACAGAGACACAGACACACACACGCACACACACACACACAGACACACAGACACAAACACACACACACACACATAGACATACACTCACACACACACAGACACACAGACACAAACACACACACACATAGACATACACTCACACACACAGACACACAGACACAAACACACACACATAGATATACACTCACACACACACATAGATATACACTCACACACACACACGCAGACACACAGACACACAGACACAAACACACACACACATAGACATACACTCACACACACACAGACACAAACACACACACACACATAGACATGTCGTGTGCGTGTGTGTGTGTCTCTGTGTGTGTCGTGTGTGTGTGTGTGTGTGTCGTCTGTGTGTGTGTGTGTGTGTGTCGTGTCTCTCTGTGTGTGTGTGTGTGTGTGTGTGTGTGTGTGTGTGTGTGTGTGTGTGTGCTGCAGGTCGTACAGCAGCAGTAACCTGCTGGAGGACCTGAAGACTCTGTATCGGATTGCGGGTCAGCAGGGAAGAGGAGTCACCTTCATCTTCACTGACAACGACATCAAAGACGAGTCCTTCCTGGGTACCTGAGTCCTCTAACCCTGAGGGGGTGGGTGGGTGGGGGGGGTGGACCGCGTGGTTGCAGCCATGACAGTGACGTGTCTCGTCCTCTCCAGAATACATGAACAACGTCCTGGCGTGCGGTGAAGTCTCCAACCTGTTTACCCGCGACGAGCTGGACGACATGGCTCAGGATCTGATCCCCATCATGAAGCGTCACCATCCACGCCGACCTCCGACCTTGGAGAACCTCTACGACTTCTTCCTGTCCAGAGTGCGGCGCAACCTGCACGTCGTCCTCTGCTTCTCGCCCGTCGGGGGAAAGTTCCGGACTCGAGCTCTGAAGGTGAGTCGGAGGCCATGAGTTTGTATAGAAGTCTGAGAAAATGACTCTACTTCTCTCTAGTGTCCACCAGGGGGCGACTC